TCACAAGAGTCATGTTAATTATTTAAGTGTTAACTTTTGTTATGAAAATAGAATTTTATTATTCACACTTCTGTCCCACACTACGCACATTCTTCAGTTATCTGAAATTTCATTTGCTAAACTTAAAAAAGAATATAGTAAGAGATGTGATGAGCTTTATAGTAATAGTGGTGAATTAGTGACAAAATGTATATTTGCTAAAGTACTTGAAAAAGTTTTTAATATAACCTACACTCCTATGGTAATTACCAACGCTTATAAAACTACAGGAATCTGGTCTTTTAATCCTGTTACAATTAGTAAAGATCATTTTGATCCTTTATTAATAACTGAACAATCTCAAGAAATCAATGATATACCTCTGGAAACTAACGAAAAAGCTCCAGAAACTGACGAAGAAACTCCAGAAACTGATGATAAAATATCTCAACTAATTTATACATATTTCACTAGAGCTAGTATTGTTAAAAAGATGGAACTACTAGAAGAAAAAATCGTGATTCTTAAAAAAGAAATCGTAACTCTTAAAGAAGAAAATAAATTGTTAAAAAAGGAAAATTTATTATTAAAAAAAAGCAATTCATCAATTCAAGAAGAACTACGAATCTTTAAGAGTTCTGGTACTTGCCCATTGAAGTTTATGCTGAAATATCCTACTCCTTAACTTTCACAATTCACTAATAAATTAGAGACTAATGATGGTGATGCTTTAGTCCGACCACAAAAGAGAAGGAAAATCTTGCCATTTGCTCAGCTTATTATCAATGAAGAATTGTTGCAAGTATTAAGGGAAACAGAAGAATTAGCACAACAGAAAAAAGAAGTAGCTCAGCGAAAAAAAGAGGAAGCTCAAAGAAAAAAGGAGAAAACTCAAAGAAAAAAGGAGGAAGCACAAAGGAAACGAGCTGAAAGAGAACTAGAGAAGACACAAAAACAAAATAATGTTCCTAAAAGATGATAAAAAAATTATCAATCTGCGTCAAATTACCATCTTAAAATTGAAATTATTTAGTACTAGTAGAGATTACACAAACTACAAGTTACTCGTTATTTTTTTATTAAGATATAAAATATAATAAAAATTATATAATATTAAATAGAATTTACAACCAATTAATTTTTTTGATGAACTTCTATTATTGATGAATAAAAAAAATTTTTAACTGCGCCATAATACCCCCCTTTACCTTAAGTAATTTACAAAATTGATTAAATTATTAAGTAGCAATAAGCAGATTTTCTTTATAATTTTTGAATTGAAATAATTAAATAAATAAAACTATTCTGTAAAATATATTCTAGCTTCCAATAAAATAAACTAAAATATTTAACTCTTTATTATATCAAGAGTCACTATGTATATTAAAAAGATTTATATATTTTTATGTATGTATTATATAATCAGAGCTTTATTTAACAACTACATCAGAGTTTTGAACATATTAAATATGTTGTTCTATAATGTCATTCTATTTTGGACAATGTTCCATGATTTATGTTCAGCCACGTATTTCATAACTAATTTGTCAACGTGTATAATTCGCAAAAATCTAAATTACAATTATGCCACTCTTTGGCAATACTAAAAAAAGCCATGAAGCTAAAGGCAACTAGTAAAACGCACAAATTAATCTAGCTTACAAGAGGTATACAGACTAAGCAATAGAAAAGGAAAAGAAATAACCAACAGAATAAAACAACAGAACCAGTGACATTTCTGGTTGAATCAAATGAAACGATCAGACATGGAATTTCTGGTCGGAAACATGACAACACTACCTATCACTTCGTATCGGTATGTTGTTTTACACTTTTAATTAGTGTAGAACATGATGATATCGATATGCATTAAACATTGCAGTTGATACAAATACGTATTAATCAACGTGTTGTTCTATACTTGTACATTAATTTTAGTAAAACAACATGGGTTTGTAGAACATATGATTTAATGAAATAATCCTTGTTTCCAGATATTTTAATCACGTTCAATTTAGTGATGTCATTAAGCATCTGGCTTGGTTGTATTAATATGATTGGTTAGGTTTATTAATGCTGAAATTTTTATTAAAAAATGCATTATTTAAAATTGTATCTTCAAAATAAATACGTTAATTGATAGTACTTATTAAATGACGTATTTTTTTTACATTTAAAGTTCATATAAAAATTTCTTTGCATTTTAAAAAATAGTCAAAATATTGGATGTTTTTAAGCTGTTCGCACCAAACAGTGAAACCTCTCTAAGTGCACCCCCTCGTGACTATAGTAAAAAACAGGCAGAGTGTGTTCACTTAGAGAGGATGTGCATTTATAGAGTAAAATATATATGTGTCTTATAACTTGGAACCAAGCCATACCGTGCATTTATAGAGGGTGCACTTAGAGGTTTTACTGTAACTAGAGGTGCAGACATTAGAACATGAAATAACTGTTGAAACCCAAAATTAATATGACGTAACTATATCTTCTCGTCTTAACAAATTAAATTTTGTATTTCCTTCCTGATTAAGATAAAAAAACATATGTTTTTTCGTCCACTACAGTCATTTGATCTGGTGATTCTCGGTGAGTAGATTTTGTTTATAAATTTTCGGCAAGACGTCGTCTAATAGTCCTTGCACTAATACTAACCCCTTGTTTTTCGAGTGTTTGCTATATTTTGTTGCTAGTTATACCAGTGTTGGACAGTGATCGCAAAATGACCACAAAGTAACCTCAAGTGACCAATTTTGTCCATCACTGAGTTATATACTGTGTTCTCTTTCCGCCATTTTCACAATTTTTTCATCTTGATTTGAAGTAGTGCTGCGTCGCTGGTCGGATTTAGTAAGCTAACACACTTTGCTGTGGCTTCACCTCAAGTCTCAACTTTGGCCCCTTGTGATGATTATGTAAACAGACAATTCATATCATTTATAAAGTGGAAGCCGTTTTCAACGAAAATGCATAGACGAGCAATTTTCACGATGACGAGGTTATATAAGGTATGATTTGTATTACTCTTGGCGTTTGGGTGTAAATAATGTGGTGGTACAACTTTGTGACCGGCACGGTATTCATGTATTCTAAAATTAAGTTTGTAAAATCAGGGATAGAAAAACCAAATCCGATGGGGTCACAAAAACGTGCAAACAGCGGTAATGACTATGCGATTTAATGAAGGCGCGAGTTAACGATTCTTGTTTCCAGAACACAGATCGCGCTCAATTTAACGATGTCTATTAGTATTCTATCGATTTACCGAATTAATCAGTAAATCGGACCCTGATTGCAATTTATTAATTGATTGATTGATTCATGATTTTCCTTCTCAATCAAAAGCGTGTTTTTTCTCATACAAAGTTGGTTTTTACTATTAAATTAATTGCAATGAAATGATTAAACATAAAGAATCGATCATGTTCATACTGTACGATTATAACGATATTTGCGGTATTTTTATCAGTTACCTCCGAGGTTTGACTTTTTTATGTGCTCGCATGTCCAAATGTTATTAAATTTTGATTCGTCTTAAATTCCCAGTTAAGAAGTACATGCATGATGCAGAACATGAAACTTCATTGTTGCATAAATGAGAATCCACTTAATACATGTACATGTACGCTAATTTCCGAGATTCACGGAAGCTTACTTAATCAATTTTCATTTAACGTTAATATTTTTTTATACAAGTTTTTTTGAGCTTAAAAATTTACAATGGGAAATCTTGATCGTACGACAAAGAGTTGTCACTTCATTTATGCGGTCGTAAAATGATACCGATACATAACATATTTTTATTAAACTTTAAATTATTCCTATTTGTGAAAAACCAGTATTTTTGTCGATCTTTTAACATACATTAAATGAAGATTGGTTTTTTTCAATGCAAAAGAATAATCTGCAGAGAATTTTTAATAATTTTTGTTAGATTTCTTTTCCTTGCTACAAATTTTTGCTTATTAGTCAGTCATTGCTGAATAAGTTTTTTCGATAGAGAAATGTTCTGCCTGCTTAGCATATATCGGCCAAAAATTCTTTGGCCACGATCAAATACCAACACAGTCAATAGCATATTATAAGAATTTTAAATTGTAATTTATCATGTACAAGAAATTATCATACTTGCATCACATACGAAAAAACAATCGGTTTTCAAATTTCTAATTTGTGCTATTTATCATGTATCTTTTTGTTGGTTCAAAAATCTGCAGATTAAATTTACATTCGTCGATCTATATTAAAAGCCAGACCGATTTTTATCATTCATAAAAGTTTAGTTCTACGTATTATCTCGTAATATGTCATTATTACTATTTCCATTTGTAGTTTATAATTTAGATTATAATATATATAAAAATAGCCCACTAAAAAGTGTGACGCATTAAATGCATGTTTATCTTCCGATGATCGAGAGTTACGTAGAGTGCCATATTAAATTCTAATATTTGATTGATTTTACATTTTGACAAAATAAAATTTGCAAATCTGGTGAGAAATTCTCCGATCAAAATTATTTGTCAAACCAAGACATTTTTCTTTCCCCGATTGGCATGACAGGAAGTTTATTTCGTGCACATAATGATTTCGTAAGCATGACTAAAAATGGTAAAATATGCGTTTTTTAGCACACGTCTTTTACTTTCTTACTTGGGTAATTTATATTTAAATATATAAAGATTATGATGACTAAAGCAAGACAAGCTTTGAATTCTTTCTGGGGGATAAAAGAACTTTTCATTGCATTCCAACCCCCTAACACTTGAGTCTCACGATCGAAGTTCCACTTATATTTTATATTTTCCTAATATTCACCAATTAGAGATGCTATTGAGAAAGTGCAGACCACAAGATTCTCCTACAGTATTTTATATCGCTTTCTTTCGTTGAGGGCACTGCATATAGTGATACAAGTTTCATTGTAATTTTTGTCAAATATAAAAGATGCATCCTTTTGACTGAAAAAGATGCGGGCAGCTCAATTTTCTTTTTTTTTATAGTTTAAAACACTAAACAATATGCCCAGAGGAAGCTCACTAGCTCACGATTTGAGCTCCGTCATTAATAATCCTCGATACAGTGATATACGTATAATATGTCAGGATGATGTCTTATACGGATGTCGAACTATTTTAGCCGCTCGCTCAGAAGTCTTTGATCGGATACTATTTCCTGGAAGACGAGATCCATGTCCTACAGAAATATCTTTCCCGGATATCAATTCATCTGCGATGAAATTTATACTTGAATTCATTTATACCGGAAGTATTCGTGAAGAGGCATTATTGAAACCGTCCGACGCAATCGACATTTACCATGCAGCCGATTATTTCCTTTTACCCGATCTTCAGAATTGTATTCTGAAAGTTACCGAGGAATTTCTTAAGGAACATGACTATAGACTTGCTTTGAAACTCTTCAACAAAACCATCGAAAAAATGCCCTTATCCCAAGAGAATAATCTATATTCTCTTTTAATCACTCGTATTGCCGCAACACCGCTCGATTCTTTTTCTTTTGGGTGCTTTACGATGGAAAATCTTCGAGCTCTTTTGACCTCAACATTAAACAGTAGCGCGTATTTTGCAACACCTGAATACGAAGTTTTTCGATACATAATTCTCTGGGGCGCAAACCAAATCTCGGAAGAAGCAACAAGCATTTTCGAATATCGCTTACCTGCTTTAGAAATCGCTGAGCAACAATTTTTGCTTCCTCAGGAGTTCTTTCTTAATCAAAGTGAAGCCTCAAAGTATTATCAGCTACAAGCAAGCCTCCTCCGGCTCATCTCACCAATACTTACTTATATAAATTTCTCACTAATTAAGCCAAATATCTTAGCGAATGTAATACATCCGCTAGGGATCATACCGACTCCGATCCTTTTAGAAGCATATCGATTCCACGCGGAATTGAAAAATAATTCGACAAATAGAAGAGGCGGAGTTTCGTGCAGAATTGACGATCTTCGGTGGGATAATCTGGCATGCGGACCGAACATTGAAATAAAAGACTATGGAACTCGAGTACTGTGTGCAAATAGTACAACTGTTGAATCTGTTCGTGGAGTAAATCAGCTTTCGGGCAATGGCATGTACGAGTGGGACGTCGTTGTCGAGGAAAAAAGCAGATGCGCTTGGATAGGTGTATGCGAGGAAAGTGTCGATTTTTCCTCGTACTTGGGCCGTCAAGAAAATATTTATGTGTTTGGTTCAGACGGACAGATATGGAATTCTGGTAAGTCATTTCGATACGGCACTACGTTTAATAAAGGCTCTACGATTACTGTACATCTCGACATGACCAAACGAACATGTGCATTTTCAATTGACGGAGTCAGATATCCCGTCGCGTGGTCTAATTTACCGGACAAACTCTATCCCGCGGCGGCAATTTGGAAATTTGGAAGATTAAGGATTAAACCTCACACTTAAGACAGTTTCTCTTATTAATTTTTATTTATTTCGTATTTCGATTTTATTTTTTATTTTTTCGTTATTTCGTACTCTTTACATTATTAATTCGACATGCAAGGCGACAAGGAAATTTTAAAAAAAACGATATTTCTCTAACGTATGTTAATATGATTATCAAGAGTCAATTAAGCACCAATTAAGAATTAAAAATTCGACATGCAAGGCGACAAGGAAATTAAAAAAAACACCTATTTTTATAAACGTATATTAATATGATTATCAAGAGTCAAGAATTAACACTTATAACTATTCCAACTACGAATATTTCATAGCATACAATTTAAATTTCATTAGACTTCATTAATGAAAAAATAACTTGAATAGAATATAATTTTTGCCTAATTTCAGAACGTATTGTAATATCGATAATAACTTAACTGTAATTTTTGAGTGTCAAGTAAATTGAAAAATTGTTCACAATATATCATAAACATCTAAAGTCTTGATAATTTGGATCTGGATTCTTAAAAGCTTAGTGAGTTGGAATTAAAGATACCCAAAAATTTTATAATAACTTAAATATTTTTTATAATAATCTTAAAGAACTAATTATTATAGGCAAAACAATTTAGAGTTTCGTCATTTCGTCAAATTTAATTTCGTCTACTAATTCAATATATTGGCAAAGTGACATTCAACTGCTCATTCTCATAAGTGTCCAATTCTTTTTTATGTCTTTTAAAGAGTCAATATTCCAAACACGTAATTTTTAATTATCGTTAATCAATCGAACTTTTTCACCCATTATTATAAGTGTCCAATTCTTTTGTCTTTCAAAGTTAGAAAGTGAAATAAGGAACGAATTGGAATGTGTAGATTTTTTGAATGTGACGAGCTAAATGTTTGTTTACTAATAGACTAAGATCTGATATGATGATAGTTTTGATTGAGATAGTACTGAACCGAACCGGATCGGACTTTTGCCTGGGTTCGAGTTCGGTTCGAAATTCGAACCGAACTCGAACCGGACTTTGGCTTGAGTTCAAGAAAGGTTCGAAGTTCAAACTGAACTTGAATCGAACTATTATACAAGTTCGAGTCTGGTTTGAGTTTGATTAAAGATCAGCATATAGTATCATATAATGATTTGTAGCTTTAATTATAAGCTACAACTTTACTTATAAGCACAATTTATAGTATTTAGTAAGAATTAAAAGTTTATATAGTGATAACTAAAGTATTTTTATTGTTACGTTTATTAAATTTGATTGTAAATGCTATGTAACTCTGAATAATAATAATTATTATTAATTATCTTATACCAATTTGTATCTTTTATTTTTGACTACAATTTTACTTATAATCATAGTTTATAATTACTATACTAAAACTAAAGCAAATTAAAATTATAATAATTAATAAAATTATTTTTTAAATTTATATAACTTCTTAAATATTCATTCTAAATATTAATTATTTTATATTAATTTGTAACTAATGTTAAGATCTATAACTTTACTTAAAATATAAACAAATATTTACTTGAATTTGAATCAAAATTTTAATTAGATTCGAGTCAGATTTAAAATTTGAACTGAACTTGAATCAGACTTTTAATTAGGTTTGAATTTTTGAACTAAACTTTTGATCAGATTTGAGTATAATTCAAGCTTGAACTAAATCAGACTCAAACTGAACTAAACTTTTTTTCAGAATTCTATCTGCACTAATAATTTTTAATTGATCATATGTAAGTTCTTGAAATTTTATTATATAGTATATATATATCATAAATATTAATTATTAATATCTTTTTATTGATTGATAAATTTTATATTAGGTATTATATTATCAAGAAATTTTTTTATCCATTGGTAATTAATTTATAATCATATTCATTAACAATTAATTATTAATACCTTCATTATTCATTATTAATAGAAATTTTATTAATTATAATTGATTATAATTACTGACAATTGATTTTGATCAAATATTATCAAAAAATATTATTAGCAATTGATTATAATTACTAATAATAGAAAATGATAATATGTTGATAATTGATTACCAATAGAAATTGTTAGTAATTAATTATCAACAAGTTTTGTTTGCAATTAATTGTAATCATGATCAATACTAATCAGTAAGAAAGTTAATAATCAATTGTCTATGTATAAAATAGCTAATTAATTACCAACAAGAATTATTTGTAATTAATTGCAATCATAATTATTGCTAATCAGTAAAATATTAATATTTAATTGTTAATAAATATAATTGATAATTAATTGTTAATGAGAATAATTTGCAATCATTTGCAATTATGATCAATATTAATTAGTTGAGATATTGATAATTAATTATTAATTAATATGATTTATAATTGATTACTAATGTATATAATTTATATTTGAATATAATTACGCTAAATATTAATTGATAAGAATATTGGTGATTGATTGCTAATAGATATTATTAAAAATTAGTTTTTAATTAAATATTGTTAGAAATTAATTTCAATTTGGATAATATAATTATGATCAATATTAATTATTGATATATAGTCAAATCTCTCTATAATTATGTCTGTTTATAATCACATCTCTCTATAGTTACTCTATTTTATTTTTCTATTTATATATAAATATAGTAAAAAAATTCTTCTATAGTCACATCCTCTCTATATTTATTAAATTTTGCTTTTCTGAGAATGATAAATATAGAGAAATTTGATTATATATTATATTTATTTGATTAATATATTATATATTTATATAAAATAATATTGTTACATTTATTTTTAAAAATTTTTTAATTAACAAATCTTTCAAAAATAGTAGAAAATATAAAAATCTTCAAAAATAGTAACAAAATAACAAATTGATAAAAATAATTTATATATATTAATTATTTAGTAATCATATAATTATTATGTAACAATTTTCATATACCTTTGTAATTTCTTGTATCATGTTTATCCTTTTTCGTGTTATGTTTATCATTTTCTTGCATAACATGTAGAATTTAACA